TAAGGGTAGGAGAATATTCATTAATATTAGTTCTATTAATTCTGTTTAACTGAACAATACGGTTTGTGTTTTCTAATGGAATAAAATATTAATTGAGGTAAAAAAATATGTATATTAATTAAAGCATTAGAGATGGTCTTCGGTGTTAGCTAATGTTTGTAAAATATTTACACTTGCTTCTAGCAGCAGAGAAAAGTTTGGGAACGGAACCATTTTAAAACGATTTCTGGATAAATTGGCCATGTATTTATCAATTAAACTATTTCATATTTGATAAATACATTCAACATGATCATCGATGGATTTCCCTATGATTGTGTTATCCCAATGAACACAGTTAAGATTATGTCATATTGTAGCAGTAAAATTAGACTTATTAAGTTAAGTATGTCCTTCATAAATATATGAAAACTCTGGATGGTAATTATACCCAATGACACTAGTACAGCCTGGGTTGTAGAAACCGTAGTATTTAATGTTATATTACTAAAAAATCATAACAAGTAAGGATCCATGATTGAAAAGAAAGAAATTATTCTGTCTAAGCCCAGTAAATAAAAACAACTCAAAAATAAGATCAGATTGCCCAGAGTGCACAACCATTCCCTCCCTGTCACTTGAATTGTGACATCCGCCTAACTTTTTGGACCAACTTTTAAGCCGACCCTCAACCATTAAACATGTTCATGTGAAAAATCAAACCTTATAATAAATCATAAATTGGCAATATTCTCGAATCAGACAAAGAAACTATTTTAGAATTTTCACACTTATTATGTTTGGTATATAGGTATTATTTGTACTTTCGTATAAATAAATCACATGTAATTAAATACAATCGATGATTATGACGTGTACCATGTATGTAATTTGTACACGTGTTGTCTTTATATTTTATAATTATTTATGACCAAACTACAAAATAAATTTAAAAGATTTGTGGTTATAACTACATAAATGTAATATTTTTCAGGAATTGCAGGAATCTAATAGGTCTCTGTGTTATGGTCTTTTAAGGCGTTGAAGAGGAAGAGGAATTTCTGAAATTGTGCTAAAGCTTATGTTTGGCACAACCCCGTAGTTGTACATCGCACGCCTATATTGGTCTCAGCATTGCTTTGGAAATATGTAAGGTTTTACACTGAGTTATAACTGAATGTTAGAACCTTAATTTTCTTTTTAAGTAGTTGTTTTAGAACTTCATTAGTGTTGTTAAATCGTAACCACGAAGCTTTAATCTTATGGTAGCAAATTTACTATTTCATTTGGTAAGACAGGTATAGTGGTAAAAGGTAGGTATAGTCATAGATAGTGGAGTATCGAGAAAGTTATTGTTATTTTTCCTCACAGTATGAAGAAATAACTGTTTTTATACCATAAAATACAAATGTTGATTTTCGTTTTCCATTCCTTATTTAACAGTATTGAAAATATTGCTTAAGTAATAAATAGTTCTATATCATCGAATAGCTTCAAGTTAAAAAGCTTATTTTATAATATTATGATAATATACAAATTGGTAAAACCAATATCTTCTCAGCATCGTATTAAAGTTTTAGCCTTATGTATAAAGAACAAGTTGTATAATAATGGTCAAATCTTTTATTCCGAAGTATATTTTTAGTACATTGAGTTGTAATGATTTTATGACATAGGAGATGTTTTATAAAGTTTAACATTTTTATTAATAAAAAATTAGAATTTATATTAAAAAAGAAGATTTGAAAAACAGATTGAGTAAATATCAATAACTGATAGTTTTAAATCTAGTTTTATTTTAATTCATCATGTTGACCTCTCAGCATCCTGGCGACAAATTCATTTACGGTATTATGTTCAACTGAAATGTATAAATATTCACATTAAAATAAACAAACACATATACACTTGCAATGACTTTTTTTTAAGTTGTTGATGACAATATCTTTGGCTATAAGCTAACTCAATACTTTTATTTTTTACAACGTATATAGTACACAAAGGTTGCAATACATTTTTTTAGTTTTTGATGATGCTACTTTTAGCTAATAACTAACTCAAGAATTTTATTTCTTAAGGTTGTCCAAAAAATAATAATTTTTTTTTTTTAATGTCTTGTCGATCGACAATTTCTCCAATTCAAATATATTGCTAATCTTCAATGGGTATTTAAATTTTTCTTCTAAAAAAAATCTGATTTATTATAATTTTAGTCTTATTTATTTTGTGGACAACCTTTGCACGTTATTTAATTTGCACATTTTTAGTACAATTATTATTGTGCATGTCGCTATACCACAATAGTAATTTCCACAATTTTCCTTTATCAAAATATTTCACATAATCCCAACTTTAAAAGTTAACCGGTACGTTATAATCCAGCACCAAATTAAATACACTAAAAAACCCATAGGGTATCAAAAAATTGTAAAGATAAAGTTAAAAAAAAATTATGACAATCATAAAAAAGAAAAAAAGAATTAATGGACAAAATATGCCAACTTTCAGAGTTAAAATAATAGGAAAAAACTCACTGGAACCTACACTGTTATAGGTCAAATTATTTTTAATAACATTGTTCTGAAATTATGTTTATTTATTCCACCTGATACTGTCAATCAAGAAATATTTTATACATTTATTAGTTAGCATATAATCAATTGCTCTTTTTTTTATAAATTAGTTTTATGCAACATAAAGATAAAATTGCTTCTATATAATATAATAAGAATAAAATATAATATAATATTAAAAAGTCCAGTCTTAAATTAAGCGATTCGAACACTAATAATTATATTTATTATTTTAAATTATTAAATGTTTATCGTTATTTTATACATACCATTTAAATATCGAGCAGCCTTCTTGGCATCTTGTTCAGGAAAACCATGTGTCATGAGATATCCTATTGTCCAACCTTTTGATACTTTTCCAACATTATATTTTCCCACAAAGTCGGCATATAAATCTCTTAACTCCTGAAATTAATTTGTTTATTAATATATGCATAAATAACAATGATAGCAGCAAATAGAAAAACAAATAGTTCTATAATATATCGTGAAAATAATGGTAAAACTTTGTTTAGCATAAGTACTTAATACTATTCTTAATATTAAAAAAAAAAACATCATTAATCTGGTGCGTTATGAAAAATACTCAATTACTAGTGTTATTACATAAACTTAATAATTATTTTAACAATATAATCTAAATCTTAATAGCTATAAAAAATATTACCTGATCTGAAAATGCAATTGTCTGCTGGATGAGTAATAAAAAACATAGGAAACTAACGAACTTGAAGCGCATGTTGCTGTAAATGACTTTCTACTCTTTCAAATAGGTAAAACCATAAATTATGACACTCACCTGATATTCTTTGGTTTTTATAAGAAATTTTACAACTATGATATGGTGCATAGACTTACGCATGTTTGTCAAAGTAGTTATTTATTTTAAATGAAAATATGTTTTACATTGAAAATTATTAATTTGTTTCTTGGCCCTTTTTTTCTCTACAGGGTGATCATCTTCAAGTGGTCTACTCGATATCTCATTGGGTTTTATTAATTATTAAACTTTTTTTTTTTTTTGAACTTTCTCATACAAATTGATCTTAATTTTCCACTAGTTTTTAATAAAATATTAAAGAATGTCTCGTCTGGGCTAAACAACCCACTACTGAAGAAACTGCCGATATTAAAAAAAATGTACAGGCAGATACGGGTATCCGAAAAAGACTTAAACTAATTTATTGGTGTTATAAATCTAGGTGTCCTCTAGAGGTTTTTCAACTAATGACAGTGGCTTATGGCACAGTTGCAGTCCCATTCTTAGCGGCTAACACACTAATTATCCTGGCAAAGCACAAGATTTCTATGTAAATGATCTAATGACGGGAGTTGACATGGTAGAAAATACTACTCAATTGGATGATCAACTCTATAAGTCATTGTCATCAGCTGGTCTTTGATTAAAAAATTGGGCATCAAATGACAGTCGAGTACTCTTTGTTCTATCTACGGAATATGTTGTAAATTTCATGGATACTGGACTATCAGAAGCGTTATTAAAAACCTTTTTGAATGTCTTGACGACATATCTAATCTAATCTTCATATATATAAAGTCGTAGTTTGCATTTTGGCCGTTATTAGTTTTTCTTCCATGCTGCTGGTACACTATATTTTTTTTAACTAACGCAGCAGCGGCCACGTGACCATGTCAAATCGTATCATGTATCACGATTACCGCAAATGGCATGAAATCTAATCAAGGTTTGCTGTGTCACTAATCTGATAGCAGCACACGCGCCTTTATCAATTATCATTTATCGCGTTTGATTTTTGATACGTTATATTAATTAAAATTTGTATTATCGTTTAATTTGTTAAACAATATTAACGTAGATAATATATTCGCTTTTTCCGTTGTATCGTATACGGTGATTGATATCTATTATCGATAACTAAATAAGTGATTGACTTTATTTTAATATATTCATAAAATATTTAGACAACCATAGTCCATTTATAGTCCAAATATAAATGATATGATGGCCGATAACATGGTTTTTGAAACGACAAAACAAGTATAATATCGCGCGAAAATGTGTAAAATGTTACGAATAACCATAATGATCTCTCCAAAGAACACAAAAACAGTCCACACATCTTTTATATTTTCACTGGAATATTTATTTCAATTTTGTGTATCCTAAAAGATACTTCGCCAAGTTAAGGGTAACTGTTTTTGAAATAAAAAAACATAAAATTAAACTCCCCCAAACAGATATTGTTTGTGGAATGGTTGCCGTCTGCGTTTAATTTCTTGAAGTGGATCAAAATTTTATTGGAAACAACACGTAAACGGCACTGGCCAAATATAAAACAGTAACGTCGGGCGTTTGTTTGTTTTCTCTCCGTCTTTTCGGTTGTGTGAAAAACCAGAAGAAACGATGCAACCGGCCAAATTACAAACAACCGTCCGTACGTTATACGGCATCGTTGCGACGACGCAATGGCCGCGTCGAATGACATGCAACAACAGCAACAGCAACAGCAACAACAAAATCAAACAATCGAGTTCCCGCTGACCTTTAACTGGACGCTGTGGTGCAAAGAGTGCAGCGGCGGCGGCGGCGGCCGCAACGACGAAGACTGGATGGACAACGTACACGAGCTGTTCGGGGTGTCCACCGACAAACAGTTTTTGGCGGCGTACAAACAAGCAAAGCTGCCCACCGCGCTGCCGTTGGGCTACAACTATTATTTCTTCAAGAAGGGCATAATGCCCATGTGGGAGGCGGCTCCCAACAAGGGCGCCGGCGCCTGGGTGGTGCTGTTGCAGGCCAGCGCGCAGAGCGCCGACCTGAACTTCATCTGGTCCGACATGCTGTTCATGTTGGTCAGCGGCGACATCGGCCACCTAGCCAAGTACATATGCGGCGTCACGTGCAACGTCCGGCGGAGCATGCACAAGGTGGCCCTGTGGACAGTCAAGACCACGGCCAGCAACTACGAGTACATATTGGAGATCGGCAAGATCTGGCACAAGTCCATCGCCAACGTCTACCGGATCAAGTACATCAAGTACAGGCTGCACGAAGGAGTTCAACAGCAAGAGTTTGACTACGCCCTGTAAACAACAAACAAAAATATATCTGCTTAGGCAAAAATTATAAAACGTGGCGATCATGCTTTAGTCTGCTGACTCTTGAATAATGATTATTTTCTTGATGACATTTTTGACACTGTGAGTAATTTGGTCCAACTTGAGAAATAGGATGGGCTAGATAGGTAAAATTAGAAAAAAAAAACGTTATTGCTTGGTTGGATTTTTTTTACATCTGTGTATTTACTGGAATAACGGTGATAATTATATTGTTAACTAGCTGCCTGTGTATATAATTAGAATACAATTGACATATAGTACTCACAAATTATACAATTTATTAGTTTATATGTAAAACCATGACTTTTTGGCAAGAAACTATGAATAAATAAGATCAGCTGTCAACCGTCCAAATGCCATCTATTGGAATAAACTTTCACTAAAATTTTGAATTTTCCAATTTCCGGGCACTTTTTACAATTTTTCCTATCCAACCCATCCTATTTCTCAAGTTGGACCAAATTACTCACAGTGTCAAAAATTTCATCGAGATCAGTTAAGTAGTTTCGGAGTTCATCGCTACCAAACATCGTGACTTGGGATTTTTATATATTTAACGATTATAAACTATCTCAATCATTATAGTAAGTGAATTCGATTAATAACATTTTTTGCATTTTAATTAAAAAAAAAAAAAAAATAGTATGGTTGTGAATTATTGAAAATTAATGGCATAATGACGCCTCACACTATCGTTCCAATTATAGGTGGCGGAACTTACCTGTTTAGGGCAATATATATTGTATTATATAAAACTTAAGACAAGGTCCAATAGGCACGTAAAACGATAGTGACAATGTAATAAGTCAATGGGAAGATTATTCGATGATGTCACATAATACCGAAAATAATTATCGCAGTTTCACCGACTACTTTACTGATATGTCACAATTTAATACTTATGGAGGTTTATGCAAATTTGTGGCAGCCGAACAAGTTTTATTGGCATTTATTGATGGAATTGTGTGTTCACATTCGTCTTGTATAAAAAACAAATACAAAATTAGAAACATTAAAAAAAACAGTACCCGATTGAATAAATTACTTTTCAATTCAAATTGAAAACATTTTGAGGAACGAAAAATGTTCTTTATTTAGGTACGAGGAACAATTGATTATGTTATTATAGATTTTTTAGAAGTACTTACCTTAGGTTAGGTTAGGTTGGTCTATAAAATCTGGTAACAATGACTGCGGAAGAAAAGCGGACCGATCCAGCAGAGACGGACACTTATTCCTTTAAAAAAGTGACTATTTCCTCTCCTCGTTCCTAAACAAGGAACATTTTCGTTCCTCGATAATTTTTAAATTTGAATTATAATAACAATTTATTCATTAGGTACTGTTGTTTTGCAAATTTGTAATTTGTTGTTTTCATACAAGTTAATATTTTATACATATATGCTATTGGTTTAAAATTATTTGTTGTTTAAATGTGAAGTAAAAATAAAATTAAAAACATAGATAAATTTGTATATTATTTTTTATTAAATTTTAAATATTAACTCCAAAAGCAAGCGATTTTCTTCACAGAGGACAAACGAATAACAATATAATTTTTTTTTTTTAAATGTTTGTTTTACTGAAGTCCATTACTAGTCCATAATGTGGTAGTACTAATATAGTAAAATAAAAACGAATAAAATTTGAATCAATTTTTAAAAGGGTTAATAGTTTTCTTATAATATAAATCAGAATAATATTAAAAGTAATAATTAAAAATGAAAAATATTCAGTTTTCACAATATTACTTGTATTGACTATAAACTGCTAAGCGTTATGAATTATACAATATACTTATACATATTTAAATGCAGATATATTTCTCAAATTCGCAATTTGATGACAAAGTAAAGTTTCTGGTGTAAATTTGTCAACTTTTTCTCTTAATTCTAAAAATAGTTCAAATAATTTATATTTAAGAATATACGAGCATTAACGAAAAAATCGGAACTTGGCACCTCCTGGTCACGTTTATTTTTGTGCTGTTGGTTTTTTTATTTTGTCTATATTTATTACTTTGGGTTTATTATATCAAGCTGTAGTCTTCCCATAGCTATTTTGGAAATTTACTAAAATCTTACTATTATGAGCCACAAAGTAGAACCATATAGCCTCGTTTTGACGACCTTCTGTTATAGTATACTAAACTATTAAGAACTATTCAAGGTATAACCAGAATCAGGTATTTAGGATCAGTAAACTTCTAGGCTGAATCTGTGGCGTGGGCCCACACTGATGGGTATGGAACAGCAACTTTATTAAAAGGAGGTCTCATTTAAATTTAATATGTATATTGTAATTTTAAGTGAATATATTGTGTTAGGTAAATGCAAGATGAAATAGCATCGCTACTCCGCATCGAAGTTAAAACAAAATGAAATAGGAAAATATGGTACGGTGTAGTTGGGCCACAGGATTTAACTTTACATAATAACTTACCTGATGACATAAGACGTATTAGGGAGTCATTTCTTCGAGGAAAGACGGTTCTCAACATTACTAGGGTTTTTTTAACGGAAATAATTCCACTTTTAGCGAATTCCCAAGGACGTTAAAGCTTTATGCACTGTAAACTCATTGTAGAGGGGACTCGATGACCGAAGGGTACGTTTCTGTATTTTTTGAAGCTATTGCATATTATACAGTTGAAAGGAATAAAAATTAAAAGACTAATAAAAATGCCAAATGGGCCTATGGCAGGATGTTTTTATTATTTACATGATTTCGGTTAATTTTTGTCACCACGCGCCACAATAATTTACCGAAAACATATGGTTTTTTTTTTAAACAATTTATTATACTCCAACTCTAAACAAATTGTAAAATTACAAGAAATTTTATTATTTTAGTAAATTTTTCATATACCGATGAATTTTAATCCGAAAACATTTGATCAAACATTGCCTCAAATTTTTCAACTTGACTTTTATCTAGATTCTTACGGTGACGGTCTGTTAAAGGCCACTGTCCAGTGGTTTTATTTTTTTCATAATATGATGTGCACGATTGATTACCAGCTTCCAGAGTAACAACTTTCTGTAGCTTTCTACCGTCGTTGTTTAATGTTGTCTCACTCGTGTATAGAGGCGTAATTAGCCTGTCGTCTACAGCCATCCCTTTCACCACTGGATACAGATTAACCTGAACTATTCCATTGGATTAATTACAATTTTTGTTTAGGTCATTGGGATTAGCAGTCCTCCCGCGAGATGACTAAATAGGAGAAAAGAGGCAAGAAGGTAACACCTATATTGTGCTTCTCTATAGGAGACTTCTGGATTAGATAACTTCAGGGCGATCATTGGATCTCTGTACAAGGGATCGTTAAGGAATTTATCATTACTGTATAGGAATATCGCTAGTATTCCTGGGGCTTTTAGGTTATCGTTAATGGTTTTTCTTCTTCGTCCACTGGCTACCTATAACCCAGAACCATATTACTACAAAACCTGATGAAGAATCTGTTTTATTATTTTTGGATAAATTCAGTGTATCATTATTAAATTTCATGCTGATGTCTTTATTAGTTCCCAAGCGTGACGTGTTAATGTTTTTTTTATTAAATCGTCTAGCAATTTTTTATTTCGTCTTATTGCAAATACTTCAAGTACAACTTCTTTGTGTGCGTTTTTGATTAAAACTGCGGGATATTTTTTCGCTAGCAGATTTTCTTCGTAATTGAAACTAAACGAGTTTTCTCGGTGGCAGCTGCATCTTAAATATTTTGTAATTTCATCGAAGACAAAATCATGCATCTCTAAAATGCTTTTTTTAGGCGTACCATAAAAACTTTTACGTTTGGCATCAAATTATACTTTTGACGCGTGGGCGTAGAAGTTGGCTAACCAAAATTCTTTAATTTGCCCAACATTTTCATTAAGCATTATGTTTATCATCTTAGTGATTTCCTCTATGAATAAAAATTCATCAAGTGGTGTGACTGTCGTAATTGATTTCATTGAAATAATTAAGTTTCATATGCATATGCAGTTTGACGATATAAAGGAATGCACACTTGAGTTCATTGAGCTTAACCGTTCTTGCGTGACTCATGAAACCAACCGGCATAACGAATAGAGTGTCTTTATCGTAAATGGTTTTATAATGGTAACCAGTATCGTAGGTTTCAACTCTGATTAGTTCGTCTGAAGGATTAACACTGAAAATTTCAAGCTCACAATATTCAATATGTTAACTCCTTGTATAATGAAGCAAACTACCAATTTCCAAGATTTAAACATAAACATATTGAATGAGTACTATGAGCTTTAAATCCTAAGTTTTATACTTACTTACTGATGTCAAAAATTGTGAGTTATATTAGAAACGGTAAACGCACTTTTGCATAGTATTTATTTAGTATAATACTAGTATGAATACTTATTGAAACACTAATACTGTTTTTTTAGATTTTTTAAAAAATAACATATGTTGAACTATGTTTATTGAGCTGTGTAGACTGCACCATAACCTAGTATACTCTGCTTTGACCTAATATATTATCGTTAAGTTATAATATTAGAGTGTGATATGGGTAGCTTGATGCTTAAACTGTATGGTATACAAAATATAATCATTGGTTTACAGTTAATTTTTATTGTTTCTTTGGTACAAAATTGTTTTCGACGGTTTGGATCAAAAGAGTTATTACCCGATTGTTTCTTTTTTTATTTTTCTTAAAACCACAGTGTTAGTTACAGTGTAAAAATATGTACGTTGGTTTTAAAGTTGTTTGTTATAAAATGTATTTTATGTCCTGAAAAAAAAAAAAGGTATAATAACTTGTACATATTCGTTTTTAGTGGTTTTGTTAACGCTTTTTAGTATGTATGTTTTATTATAGTAGATTTCGCAGCTGTTAAGAACAACTAACGAAACAAAAAAAAATGGTCTTACACATATACTACCTACAAAATCTATGCATGTTTGACACAGAAAATATATGCTTTTATATAGTATTATTATGT